ATTTCTGACCCACGCCTACAGAACCCGAAGCCCCAGCCTTAAACCCTAACTCCTAACCCTAATGCCCTGTAAAGCCCTAGACCCCAAAGCCTGAACGCAAGCACCTGCGGACGGCCTGAATTCCCAAACCCACTTAGAGGCCCTCAAGACTTAGTATTTTTTCGTTCGAAGTATTTTAAGATGGCCCCTGCTAAGGTGCCCCCAACCCAAAACACACGCGGCTCCCTGAGTCCCCATGAGCTTTCACTTACGCCCACAAAGGCCGGAGCAAACTCAATAGCCCCAAAACTCCTCATACCTTATGGACCATGTCAAAACCCTGCTACCCTATAAACCCTAAATGAATCCTGGGACCTTAGTTAAACCTTATCTCTAAACCCCAAGCCGACACTTTGAAGCTCTAAACCCTAAACCCCAATTCTAACTACCCATGAACCGTCAAGCACACCCGAATTTCGACGGGTGGAAACCAACAAGCCCTCAACCCCAAACACTATATTATGGAGACCACTACTCCACAAGCCAAAGCCCAATGACCCTAAACCCCTAAACCCGAAAAGGCCAGAGGAGGATTCGGAAGAGGCTTCTGGAGCCTCTGCAGAAGCCGACCTGCCGGGAGCTTAGGCCTATGCCCAGAGGAGCACGGTTGCTTATGGGCTTTCGTAGGGGCGCTATTTATGGTGCATTTATAGGGTTGCTTTGTTTAACAACCTGGAAATGCCGCATTGAAAGCGAATACGCCATAAACCGCCAACACTAAATCAACCCTACGCCCTAGAATTAAAAATCTCAGGCGTAAGCCCTAAAAACCCAATGACCCTGTAAACCCCTAAGCCCCTCCACCCGACAAGGGCGGAGGAGGATCCGTATGAACTTTCTGGAGCCTCTGCGCAAGACCTGCCGGGAGCTTAGGCCTAAACCCAAAGGAGCACGGTAGGGTTGGTTGCGGGTGGGCTTTCATCTGGCGTTGCTTGGGGTGTTTATAGCTTTGTTTTCATTTGTTTATAGCGTTTAATGTGTCAGGGATTTGGCCTTTAGAGTTTAGTTCGGGTTCAATTGATAAGGATGTCCGATCCGCGCTTGTAGAGCCCGAAGCCACAAGCCTCAAACTCCTGGCACTGCTTAAGCCACAAAGCTCTGAGGGTAGTTCCTTGTTTCTGGACCTTCGGTTTTTTCGGCTTGGGTGGGGGTGTGGGGGGGGTGTGGGGGGGGGGGGGGGGGGGGGGGTGGGGGGGGGGTGTGGGGGGGGGGGTGTGGGGGGGGGGGGGGGGGGTGGGGGGGGGGGGGGGGGGGGGGCGGGGGGGGCTGGCATTTACAGCGATTTACAAGGATGTGGAACAAGAAGATCTGTCACAAGCGTCCGACCGTACCCAAAACACAGGTATTTACAGCGTTTTATCCCCAAAACACTGGTATTTCCAGCGTGTTGGCCTCTTTGTACAACATACTGCACAAGGATGTGGAACAAGAAAATCTGTCACAAATGTTTACCTTGCACTAATAAATCCCAAACATGCTCCGTACCACGCCTGCCAGTACGAACAATGTGTCACGCAGAGCCCGCACCCAGGCAAACTAATGCGCGTTAACCGGGTAGTTACATGGTCTCTAACCTCCTTTACAGGGTTCTGATGTATGGGCCCTTATAAGAATTATATATGTGCCAACATAAGCGCACCCCCCTGGTTCACCCCCCGTGGTCCCCTCCACCCTGTGGTCCCCCCTCCCCCCCGCCTCCGTGCAGGGTTTAGGGTGTAGGGTTCAGGTTTTAGGATTTATGGTTTTAGGTTTTAGGGTTTAGGGGGTTTAGGGGGTTTAAGGGGTTTAGGGGGTTTTGGGGTTTCAGGGGTTTAGGGGTTAGGGAGTATTGGGTTTGGGTTTGTTTTTTTGGGGGCGGGGGGGGGGGAGATACCATGTGGGGGGGGAGGGGGGTCGACTACGCGGAACGCGGCCGCAAGTACGGGGTGCCCTTTAATGGGCCCATACTACGGGACCATGTAACTACCCTTAGAAGAGCCTACGGCTTGAACTCCTGATTCCCGATAAAGCCAGAGGACCCAGAGCTTGAACCCAAACACCTTCGAACAGCCTGAAAGCAAAAGGCCCCTACTTACAGGCCCTCCGAGGATTGAGCCAATATTTGTTTCAAGCGTTTCTCAGAATTTCTCGTAAGGTAATTATCAGCGCAAATACAACCAGCTTACTAAGTTCCCCTGAACTTTCTCAAGCACGCCCGCAAAGGCCGGAGACAACTCAACAGCCCCTATACCCCTTATACCTTCTACCCTATAGACCATTTACAAACCCCAATTCCCTGGAACACAAAACTCTAACTTAAAACCCTAAAGCCTTAAACCCTAGGCCGAAACCCTGGTCCTTTCTTGCTTTGATTCAAGGGTCTAGGGCCTAGGGTTTAGAGTTCCACACTTTGGGGGCTCTGACAGTGGAAGTCTTGACTTCCAGGTTGCGTGGGGACTTCAAGACAAGAGTAACCCCTAAATGGGCGTGGGGGTGAATAGATTTTCGCGTTTTTTGGCGTTAGGGTTAAAGGTTTTTAGGGTGTAGGGTGCAGGGTTTAGGGTTTAGGATTTAGGCTTCTGCTCGCATTTACACTTTAGGCCTTCGACCCCAAACACTACAGCCAAAGCCATAAACCCCCAATCCCTGAGACTTTACACCTTGGTACTTGGAGGTTCATGGACTGTACTTCTAACAGTACGTATAGCCATATTAGGGCAGTTAAGGGGCTTATAAATGGGCTATAAGTACAGTTATACTTGGTATATGTAGCATGAACCTCCAAGTACAGCCCTCCCTCCTAACCCGCTTCTTACAGGCTTAGCAGGCTCGGCAAACAGACCTATACGCAGGGTGAGGGAATGTAACTTGCAGAGACCCCGAAACCTTGCTTCTAATTACCCATGAACCTTTACAGTGCAGCAACCTGGAAATGCCGGATTGGAAACCAGTACGCCATAAACCGCAAACACGAAAGACCACTAAGCCACAGAAACAACAAACTAGTCAAACCCCAAGCCCCAGACTTAAAACCCTCAGCCTTAAGCCCTATGACCCTGTAAACCCCTAAACCCCCCCACCAGACAAGGGTGGAGGAGGAGGATGAACCGTCTGGAGCCTCGGCGCAAGACCTGCCCGGAGCTTAGGCCTATAGACCCAAAGGAGCACGGTAGTGTTGGTTGCGTATGGGCTTTCATCGGGCGTTTATGGGGTGTTTATAAGGTTTTTTAAATGGCGCTTAATGTGTCACCTCCGGTTCCTTGGCCTTAAACCCTCAACCCTAAACCCCAAACCCTAAACCCAAGACTGAAACACCAAAACGACGTCCTCCTGAGGTCAGGTCCGGCAGACAGCGCTGTGGGAAGTGGCCTCATGATGTCTGAGGAGGAGCCCCCTGCTCAGTTGCACTTTTTTCACTTTTTTAGGGTTCAGGGGAACTTATAAGGTTTAGGGTTTAGGGCTAGGACCCGGAGTGGCCGTTATTCCCTTTTTTTCGGGTTTAGGGTTCAGGGGTAGGACCTTGGGACATTTTTATGTTTTCCCTTGTTGGGTTTAAGGGGATCATATTCATGAATTGTTCAGAGGGTTTTGGTGGCCATCCTAGGGAGTCCTTAGGGTTTAGGGTTTATGCTTTTCTTTGGGGTTGAGAATTTAGGGTTATAGGACTTGGGCTTTTACCTCATCAAGAGACGGAAGCAGACTATCGTGACAAGTTGTATACAGATGAGGATAACACTACCGAGAAAGTGTGCTGCTGCTGCTGCTGCTGCTGCTGCTGCTGCCATGAGAGTTATCAAGCCAATAGCATCACCCACCAAGCACCACAGCCACAGCCGCCGCCAGCACCAGAACCGACACCATCATCATCATTATCATCACTTTGTCATAGTTGGGTAACAGTTTACATTTTTGAGGGTATTTAAACCCAATAAGGAATAAACAAATACATTTTTAATATTATCCCAACAATGAACTAGATCATCATCATCATCATCATCATCATTGAAAAGACCGTCGGCCCTACACCCAAAACCCCAAACTTAATAAACCCTAAACTTGGGACGTTCCCCCTTACACTAACAGTCCTCAATAGGGATTGAACTCGGAGGTTGCTGTAATCCCTATTCAGGAGCTGTTGGTATAAGGGGGAACATCCCAACCCTAAACACTAAACCCCTGAACCCCTGAACCCCTGAACCCCTAAACCCTAAACCCCTGAACCCCTGAACCCCTGAACCCCTAAACCCCTAAACCCCTAAACCCTAAACCCTAAACCATCATCACCACCTCTGTCGGAGCTGCCACCACCATCGATGTCGGGGCGGACTTCCTAATATTACAGTCCTCGGTCATGGTTTAGGGTTTAGGGTTTAGGGCCTAAAGGGTTTAGGGTTTCAGTGTTGGGATGTTCCCCCGTATACTAACAGTCCTTCTTAGTGGATTATAGTACACCCGTAGTATAATCCCTTTTAAGGGGGATCATCCCAAGTTCAGGGTTAGGATTGTTGTTGGGCTGAGGGTTTTGCGGCTTCAGGCGCGCGGGTTCTATATGGAGTTTGAAGGGTAGTTCTAAGGGTGCAGGGCTTGGGGGGTCGGCTTAGGGTTCCTGTCTTTGGGTTTGGGGAGGGTGTGGGGTGTATGAGCCCTGCTTATGACAGACTTGCTACATTCCCTGATCCTCATAGTATGTATATATATGTATAGAGTATACCATGAAAGCCCTAGGGCCCTAAAGCACTACAACCCTAAACCGCTAAAACCTCTAAGTAAGTTGAGGCAGAGAGAGCTCCAGCTGAAGATCGACGAGCTACTGGCCAGAGCACCTTGGCCCTGGTTGATTTCTGAGGGCAGACCAGTGCCTCTCTTTCCGGTCTGTTTGCAGGATCAAGGTACACTGAGCCTTTCAACCTACGCCACTAACTCTCCTGAGCCTCTACCTAAGAAGGCTGAGGGGAGGGAAGCTGATTGCATCTGGTGAGGTGATGAACACGAAGCCAGATGCAGTTCCCCCGGGCGACTGGGGAGCCGATGCCCCTGTGTCTTCCAGTAAGCAGGAGGACACGAAGACAGATGCGGTTCCCCCGGGCAACTGGGGAGCCGATTCCCGTGCTTCCAAGAAGCTGGAGCCTGTGAGTGTGGAGGAGCTATGGAGTCGCCTGCGCAATTGTAGCTATAATCACTGCCATCTTCCCACTATGCTTCAAGCTATCGCAGGCTGTGACGACATACGGCACCATCCGAGCAAAGTCTCTCTGCAGCTGCTGTCCTGGAACTTCAGTGGGGCGGTGCGCTTGTCCGATCAACTCGCACAGAATGCCGAGGCTCGCGATCTTGCCACGCAGCTCTTGTCGGCAATGGCTCTGCTGGCAAAGGCTTGCTCTGCGAAGCGAGATGAGGCTCCAGGTGCAAAGCTTGCAAGGCCTACAACTCCATCTGCAAATCTTACAAGGCCTGCAACTCCAAGTGCAAAGCTTACAAAAGACGTCGAGCAGGAGACGGAGGAGATGTTGATCAGAGACCTTTGGCTTGCGAAAGGAGGCATGTTAGGGGCCCGTACAAAATGTCCTGTTAAATTGACGGCCCAATTTGGGCTTGGTGTTCCTGACGTTTCTAATCTCACTGCAATTGCGGCTTTCCTAGTTTTTGGGCGTAATGCTTTGCCGAAAGCTAAAGCCCAAATCCTTAAACAACTATAATGCGTAGGAGTTTAATTTAAAATCCAGCCATAAAGATATGCTCCACCATGCCCGTTTTCCCCTTAAGAACAGAGACATGCAAGGATCTGAAGAACAGCTTGCCGCTTTCCGTTGCTGCGCTCGGCAGCAAGTTCGGCGCCCGCTTCCGAAGTGGCCAGCTGTGCGCTTTAGTGCTGGGTTTAGGGTTTAGGGTTTAGGGTTTAGGGTTTAGGGTTTGGGGTTTGGGGTTTGGGGTTTAGGGTTTAGTGCTGTTCGGGTGTTTTCTTGTTTTTGTGCAAGGTCTTTAAGGCGGGTTGTCGGTACGTAAGGCAGCTATAGATTGCGCGCCCAGCCTTTCAACCCCGAAACCCACAACCCCTACATCCATAGAACGAGGCCTCGCACTCCGGAAGCGCAAGAACACCTTCTTTCCCTGGCTCCGGAAGATACCCGGTATCATGGTTCCCAGCTCGTGCCTCGCAGCAGTTCTTGAGGGTTGAGAGGCGCAGGGTTTCCGCTCACTCATGGGGCTGTTGCGCGGAGGCCTTCGGCCCATCCCGAAACCTCAAGCTTGAGTTCGCCACCCTCAGCAGGTAGACCTTAAACCCGGAAGCCCTCGGCTGGAAGCAAGGTGCACAGGGCCGGAGATGGTGATGCGCGAGGGCCTCGAGGGTCCATATCCAGCCGGTCCACTACCACCGCGCTGCCGAAAGAGGGCTGGACACGACGAGGTCACGAGCACTTCATATGCCACGCAAGCGACATCATCGACATCGAAAGCCCGTCGCACTTTGACCTTGGGCAACCTCCAGCTCACGCATCCCCCACTTTTTGGAGCTTTCGGAGCTTGGCCGGCAACTTGGCAAAAACAACAGGTGCTTCGCTTGTTGGGGTTTAAGAGGATAAGATTTGGGATGGTTTTTTTCAGAGCGTCGTAAGGGCCATCCCAGTTCGGGGACTGCATTTTTTCAGGTTTTTTTGGTGGTTCTTATAACTCACTTAGTGCTAATCTGCTTGTTAGGGTTTAGGGTCCTACTTTGTGAAGGTCTACATTCGAAATAGTTGTGTTGTCATGATGGGCATACTGGGGAAGTAAGGAAGCCTCAGCTTGGCAAAGAAACGGCTGGTAAGCAGATGCCCGAGCTCGCGAAGTTTAGGGTTTAGGGTTTAGGGTTGAGGGTTGAGGATTTAGGGTTTAGGGTTTAGGGTTTGCAGCGTGGGGGTCCATCGGAAGGCGCCCCTGAGATGGACCCTAGTGTGGTTTGACCCGCAGTGTACAGGATCCTTTTGGAAGAGCAAATCAAAAATCTCAGTGAATAATCCATCTCAGCTGCTGCTCAAGGTAGCAACTGAGAACAAGAACAGTCCGAGTCAGCTGAAGCGCCAATGCCCAGACGCCTGGGAGGATCCGCAAAGTAGAACCCCCCAAATAGTACCCTGTACTACTATTGGGTCATTTGGGTCATTTTTACCCCCAAATAATACCCTATATCCACTACTACTGGGTCATCTTTAGGAATCCTTCCGGGGATCTACTTTTTGGATCCTCCCAGGGGTCTGGGAGGCCAAGGGGCCCTGGGAAATGCTTAGAACCAGTATGTGTTTGGACGGGCCCCGTCGCAGCGTGCACGAAGAGGCCATTGAGAGAACCTTACTCCACAAATGGGTGTAGGGTTTTAGGGTTTAGGGTTTAGGGTTTAGGGTAGGGCTGAGGGAGCCTGCGACTGGACCCCGCAGCCCGGAGGCATCTGGACAGAAGGAAGTTCTGCTTAAGACCTGCCCGAGCAGTCGCAGCGCACAAAAGCCGTGGCCCACGTGATCCGAAGTTCCTGTTCCGCTTTATGCTGAGTTGTAGAGTAGGTAACCTTTAACATTTGTGGGGTAATAGAATCCCCTTATAATCAAGGTTAACCTCTAGTTCCCCTAGGTACTGGACAATTCGGTATGTCTTATGGTTGCGGGCTAGGACTTTTTTCTCGCTTACCTGAAGAGAGCCTATCAAAAGCGCAGCGGAAAGCGACTACGTATGGAGACGGCAATGGGGGGTTTAGAAGCAGGGGTTCATGGATTTAGGTTCAAGCCGTAATCAAACACCCCGATGATTCAAGGTACTTTTTTTGGAGCAAGTAGATCGCCTACCTAGCTTCCGAGATTGTGGGCTGAGGTCTTAGGGTTTAGAGTTTAGGGTTTAGGGTTTGGGGTTTAGGTTTAGGGTTTGGGGTTTGGGGTTTGGGGTTTAGGTTTAGGGTTTAGGGTTTAGGGTTTGGGGGTTTGGGGGTTTGGGGGTTTAGGGTTTAGGGTTTAGGGTTTGGGATCAGGACCCTCAGTCCACACGTTCAGCTCCCGGACCTGCCTCAAGGTGGTATGATGGGTACCCAAGAAGGAACCCTGCTCTACCATAGGACTCTGAATCATTAGGGTTTGGGGTTTAGGGTTTAGGGTTTAGGGCTAGGGGCCTTAATATTGAGAACAGGGTTTGGAGGGTCATTGAAGTCTATCATCTTTCAGGGACCATAAGGGAATATGAGTACTCGACCCCCTACAGTATAGAACCCGCACAAGTTCTCTGTAGTCCGAAGTGGCATTGTCGCCAGCAACATTCCGCTGGTGACCCTTGGGTCCAAGCCGTAGCAGTTACCTCGAACATGCTCCGAAGCGGAAAGTACCCTAAACCCTAAACCCGAAACCCTAAACCCTAAACCCTAAACCCTTGCAACCTTTGAAGCTTTCCACCCTGTAGTCGCTGTGCCCGAACAAGAGCTCAAACCGTATGATCGAAACTCCATTCAGGCTGGTTATTCAAGTTGTAGGCAACCAGAGCAGCCCATCAAACCCTAAACCCTAAACCCTAACCCCTGAACCCTGAACCCGGAACCCTAAACTGCGCACTTAAAGGTCCAGCCCCAAGACCCTGAGACCTATCAGCCAAAACCGAAGACCCAGGATCCCCAAATCTTCGAAATTCCTAAACCCTCAAGCCCTATATCCCTAAAGTCCTAGATGCCCAAAACCCTAAACCCCAAACTCTAAACCCCAAACCCCAAACCCTAAACCACCCTAAACCCCAAACCCCAAATCCCAAACACTAAACCCCAAACCCCAAACCCTAAACCCTAAACCCTAGAAACGGTGCCAAGCAAGCCTTGGCTTGGGCTTAGAAAGCCATGGATCTCGATGCGCTGATCCGCGGCCTCTTCGACACACTTGGAAGGCTGTAGGGAGGGTTTAGGGTTTAGGGTTTAGGGTTTAGGGTTTAGGGTTTAGGGTTTAGGGTTTAGGGTTTAGGGTTTAGGGTTTAGGGTTTAGGGTTTAGGGTTTAGGGTTTGGGCTCTAAAGCCTAAACCCTAAACCTCCTAAATCCTTAACCCTAAGCCCTACACCCCAGGTAGCATTTTCAAGGTTGTCGAGCCCCACAGCCTGTCACTGAAGTTTTTACGGTCAGTTCTCCCCATGACGGTCCTTTCTTATAGGGGTTTAGGGTTTTAGGGTTTTGGGTCGTTCTGTACTTTAGTCTTCCCATTCATGTCTTCGAGAACTGCCCATGCGCATGTCTTCGAGAACTGCCCATGCGTTCTCCGCTGGCATAAGCAAGTCCAAGCAAACATGAAGGTTTAGGGTTTAGGGTATAGGGTTCAAAGGGGAGTATAGCTTTGGAGGGGGCATTCGAAACCCTAAGCCCTGAACCGCAGACCCCTAAACCCTAACCCCCACTCATCAGCCATAAATCCTGAGGCCCTAAACCCTAACCCTAAACGCCAAAATTTATTGATTCCAGGCCTCAGAGTCCGAACCCCAAACCACATGACCCATAAGTCCCGAAGAATCCTGCAAACCCTACAAGGCAAGGTCTTCAAACCCTGCAGCGCACTACAAGCCTCCTAAACCCTAAACTCTAGGGTTTAAACCTAAACCCTAAACCTTAAACCTCGATCCTAAACCCTAACTGAGCCCGAAACCTTTAGCAAAGAGACAGAGAGAGAGAGAGAGAGAGAGAGAGAGAGACAGAGAGAGCGACAGAGACAGAGAGAGAGAGAGAGACAGAGAGAACAGCCGCACGGCTGCCTCGCAGGCTTCTTCTGCGAGAGGTGCGCGAGGACAGGCTGTGACCCTGAGCCCTGCTGTTGGGGTTGCGGGTTTAGGGTTTAAGGTTTAGGGTTTAGGATTTAGGGTTATCGGGTCTTGGGTATCTGTCAATACGTATGTATATATTTATGCAGATATGCCTAGAAATGCGTGTATATGTGTGTATATATACACATTTATTTTTGGGAGCTATGTACATATATCGATATATATATATATATGTATGTATACATACATGTACCTCTGTACCTATGTACCTATCAAAAATGTCTATATGTTTGGCGATCTACATGTCCATGTTTATCTCTATTATAAGGCACCTCTATCTACGTATGACTATGTGTATGTCTGTGTCTATGTCTATGGTTGTGTCCATGCGGTATCTAAATCTGTGCCGTTACGTACATCTGCTTATGGGGTTTGGGCCCTGCCAGGACCTAAGGTAGTTACATGTTCCCTGAATGCGGGCCCTTAGAAATGGGGGACCCTTAGAATGTACCCCTTGCATACCCTATAAAACCCACAGGCCCGTACTTGAGAACCCTCTGAAGAAGGTAGGGTTAGACAGGAGATTGATGTGCAGATCGTGACCGAGCTGATGCAGAACGGCTTTGTTTGCCATGATGGGCCCTCAGGGGACTTGATGAGATGTTTAAATCCCAAGCCCTAAACCCTAAGCCCTACGCCCTAAGCCCTAAACCCTAACCCTCCGTGTGACCACCCGACGCGTGTCCAACATCCGGACGGATCGAAGTGCTCGGATGTGGGCTTGTCTCCACCTTGAAGACCTCTAAGATTAACAGTGTGGGCTTCTGATCATTTTGTTTAAGTTCCATGTATATATTATATTTTAGTATATTACATTTCATTTTTCACATTATATTGTTTTATATGCTATTCTATTGTATTATATAATAGTTTATTACATTGTATTAAACACTATATATACATAAATAAATAAATATATATATATATATATATGTGTGTATGTAGGCAAAAATGAGGACGGATGGTAGAGTTAGGGTTCAAGGTTTTGCGATGAGAGTTGGTTAGGGCTCAGGGTTGTTTGCTCGCAGTTCAAGATTGCATGGGCAACGGCCCAGGTGGTTTTGCCATGCTTGGGGGGCATCAGCTACGAAGGCAAGGCTGCTACGACGGAGGAGGCCACACGACAGCTCAGGGGCTTCAGTTGAATATAGGAGCCTTAATCGTTGTTTAGGTTTTAGGGCTTTAGGCTTTAGGTTTTAGGCTTTAGGCTTTAGGGTTTAGGGTTTAGGGTTTAGGGCTTAACTCCCTATGTAAGTACGATGTTACGAAATCAAATTCCCAAAGTGCACGGTGCAACAAAGTAATACAGGCAACAGGCAATGATGCACAATCAGTCCCGGCTGCAAGATGATGACCCTTTCTCACAGGCCGTGTCAATACTTGGGGTAGGTCTCCCACTATTGGCTTAAGAACTCCCCCCCATAACATAAAGTATTCTTCCTCATAAAGGCAATACAGGGACTATCATTCTTCATATTTTGTGTGGTTCTTAAGCAAATAGCAGTCTCTCGCACAACGGGGGGTCCTTTTTATAAGGTGCTGTATCCTAAACCCTAAACCCTAAATCCTAAACCCTAAACCCTAAACCCTAGGACCCAAAAAAGGGCCTTAGTTTCAAAGAGAACGACCCAAGATGAAGGCTGCAAGGAGGTAGAGCGGCAGCTACCTCAAGCCCGGCAGCTTGCTTTTAAGCCTCCTCAACCCTAAACCCTAAACATTAAACCCTAAACATTAAACCCTAAACCCTAAACCCTAAACCCTAGCCCTAAACCCTAAACCCAAAACCCAAAACCCTAAATTAAGCATGTCCATGCACCTCCAAGTAGGGATGCTTAGGGCCCCCCAGAGGCATTGAGGGTTTTAGGGCTTAGGGCTTAGGGGCTTCGGGCTTAGGGTTTAGGGCTTAACTTAGGGTTTATAGGGTTTAGGGTTTAGGGTTCAGGGTTTAGGGTTTAGGGCTGCTGGAGTGTTTAGGCTGACTGTGTGCTTTGTAGTGGGG